TAAATAAAAATCTTTAAAAAAATTATTTTAGTGGTTGTAATTTTATACAAATTACATTGATACTTTAATTAGAACTCAGTTACTACGAATTTTTAGCATAAATGCTTGAAGATGAGTTTGGACATTAGAATCTCAGAAATTCCAACTACTAACCACTTGGTGTCTTGTTTTACTTTTAAAAAAATTAGAAGAACTATCATCAATTTCATTGAATAGTTGTATTAAATAATTAACATCCTTATAGCTCAATACATAATTAACATCTGATAATTCGTATTTGTGATATAGCTATGTAAGTAGGCCTAGAGAGTGGTACAAAGTTTGTTCACTAGTAGATGTAGATGTTGGTCCCTGATGAGATACACTCACCACAAGAGTTTGGGAAAGCAATAGGAGAGATGTTGGCAACTTCTCCAAATATAAAGAGGTAGAATATGAGATGTATGGGCTGGGAAGTTTGACTTCAATATGCAACACAATTCTGGAACCATAGTTTAAGCAGATGGTTTTTGATTATATAGTAAAGACTGTCATGGTTGCTAGGAGTCACCATGGGGAGAACATATCTTCCCAACATCCTTTTAAGTGGTATTTTGTGGTATGGAAAACTGAGGTAGTCATTTCAGTAAAGAGGGGAATTGTCTCCTTAGGGGTAGGACAGCACTTAAGGGTTTGTAACTTGAGAGGAAGTGAAGCCAGCTAATTAATGTCAAGATTCTCTGGCGGGGTTTTTGCCTAAGAGGAACTTGGAAAGCCGTCGACTGCTGATGTATAACCTGGCCATTTAAGACTTTAGGGATTTGGATGAAGATGTATGGATTGGATGTGTGCTAATCAGATACGCAGGTGGCCCAAAGTTTGGAAGGATAGTAACTACAATGAATAAGAAAATAAAAATTTAGAATATTCATGATCATTTGAAGCATTGCATGTTACCCAGAAAGATTGAATTTAATGAAGCTAATGGTGACAAATTTACATTCAAAAGATCACACCCGGGTAAGAAAGATCTTGTTTGATAGAAGTTTAGGTAAAAAATTATTTACTTTATCCTAAGCTTAGTATGTTTTCTTTCAGTGATTTATTCACAAAGATGTAGTATCCAGCTTATGATAGCTGATAGCACTACTCTATTATTTCACAACATGTTTTTGATGCTGTATTTTTACTGGGATGATTACTTCAGTTTTCTGATTGCCATATCTGAACAAATAGGAGTGACAATAATGTGATGAGAGGGACACCAATCATGGTGTAGGAGGGCTGTTGGTGAGAAGACTAAGTGTATCCCTCAGATATTTGCAGGGCTTGAGCAGAGGGTATAATTATGTTCTCTGGTATTCCCAGGAGTCACTACTATTTCTGAGGAGGTTGATTTTGGATAGGTATAAAAACGTGTGTGTGGGGTATGACTTGCCCACCTGTGTGAGGCCCACACAGGGCTGGGAGGTGCTCTTGTGAGACCCCGTGCAGTGTGTATGCATGTAAGTGCCCAGGGGTGTGTGGTATATATTCCTGTGGCATTTTGTGAAGGCACCCTAGGTACCTAAATAATAATGAAGTTTCACTTTAGTTTTTGTGTACTTTAAGAAGTCTGAGAATGAAATAAAGCAGCCGAGGACAGAAATTTTCTTCTATCATGTACTAACATTTACCAGTTAATTAAACCACGTTTCTTAAGATAGTATTAAGAGACTCCTTTAAAATTTCTTTGATATTTTGGAAGTATGTCTATTCAAAAACCCATTGCAACTTGACCACCACAGGGCTTTGCTTTCTCTTAGTGCAGTTTTACAAAACTTTTGGCTTTCAATTCTCACCTCAATTCTACATGCTTCTCTCCATCTAAGTGATAAGTTTTTCTGAGAGCAAAACCATGTCTATATATTCTCTCAGGCACATAGCAGAAACCCCATTTCTACTGCTTGATTCACTAGTTAAGAGGCATAGTGTGTAGAAGTATCATTCTAGCCACTGTGCTAACGCATGTAAGATTCGGCAGGGTAAGTAGACTTTAATTTCTCTATCCCTTGCATCCAAAAAAGAGATTATACTCTGAATTTATTGGTGTCACCTCCTTTGGCCGGGCAGGTGCTTTGCACGCAGTTGACTCTTTGTATGTACTTGGACCTGGGTGCCCCTGGCTGGCCTCCAAAGCTCAAACAGCCTTCTTGACCCAACCTCCACAGAGTTCTAGGACTACAGGTACAATTTCCTAAGCCCAGTTTGGAGGCTCATTGACTGTGCTGCAGGTAACTGACGTAACCAGACTTAGCACATGAAAATGCAAGGTGCTAAGTAACATTTGAATTTCAGAAAAACAACATTGCAATATTTGGGGTACTTGTGCTAAAATGTATTCATTAGTTGTCCATAAATAAGTGAAACTGGATGTTCTGCATGTTCTCTGGCAATCCTACATATAAACTATATTCCTGTCATTCTCCAATAAGTCTAAACCCTAAACTCCCAAATTTACTTCACTGGAGAAAATTTGTGCCTGTGTGATTAATTCCAAGGGAAAAATTTTAAAAGTTACTAAGAAAAAATCCACACACAATATCGTTTTTGTGGTCATATTCTTTCAAGTATCCAGTCAATAATGGTAATTCCACAAACATCTTGGGCCCTGGCAGTGACAAAATCAGTCTCCTTTTCCTCAGTGGCATGGTTTATTTGGTTCTAAGAATATAATGCTGGTATTATTTTTGTTCAGGTGTCATAGCGACCACTGCTAACAAACAATTAGGCTCTATGCACTGGAATCAGGTGAACCTAGTATAATCTATAGTTTTAGCTCCTACAAATGTGCTGTATTAAGTAATAAGAACTGCAATCAGAGAAAAGTGTTGCCACTCTTGGATCACTCGCCTCTTCTTTCATCTGCTCAAAGGGAAGATAACACTGATTTGTTCTGCTTTATACACTTCTTTTAAAAGGAAGACATCTCATACGTCGGAAAGTTACCTCCATTGTATATAATAGCTAAATAATGCATCCTGCGGTTTCAGGGCAGTTCCTTCTATTCATTCAGCAAACATTTATCAAGCCGTCAATGCTAGGTATAAAGGAGGAGACAAAATCAGCAGGACATAGTCCCTGCTTTCAAGAGTTCACAACAATCTGCTCATTAAATATTTGGTTTTAATCACTCATCAGCCAAAGCCTTTTCAATCAAAGGCTTGCAGACCTCTCCTGACCAGCCTGCTGCTCCCATATTTCGTCAGTCTGCATGTTCTGCTCCCCACTCTCTGATGAAGCCTCTCACCACCCCTGCGCCTCTGGCTTGTACCCCAGTTCTGTATGAATAAATAAATAAATCTTTAAAAAAAAGAAAAAAGAGTTAACTAACTCATAGAATTATGGAATGATTCTCCTTGCCAGTGCTTTAGATAACGATCAGGCCTTACGGTCTGAAAAGATGCTACTCTTAGCATGTTGTTCTGGGGTCTAGAGCGTGCCTGTTTCCTTCTCCGTGGTGTGTAGGACTGTGCTGCTCAGCGTGATCCCCAGGCCGGCAGCTCAGCATCAGCATCTCTTGGGAACTTTCTAGAAACATGGCCTCTCCCTGGACAAAAAGAATCAGGGTGCAGTGTTCCCTTCTCTAGGTGCTGCAGGGGCGCCCTGAGGCCTGAGAAGCACAGATTGAAAGCAGAATTTCTTCAGTTCTGCTATGTGCACAGCAGTTCCCTGGGCCCTCCCCAAAGGAATGGTTCTGAATGAGGGACACAGCTAAGAATTACATACTTTTAAAAGATTTATTTATTCATGCATACAGAACTGGGTACAGGCCAGAGGTGCTGGGGTGAGAGGATTCACCAGAGACAGAATGGGGAGCAGAACAGGCAGATCGACCAAGTACACTGCTGAGGGGAGCAGCGGGCAGGTCAGAAGAGGTCTGCCGCACCGTGTGGGTCACCTCCCCAGCCGGGGATCAAACTCGTGCTGCAGTGGCTGCATTGCAGCACCAGGGAGGGCCCAGAATTACATTTTTAACCAGCACCCAGGACTTCCTGGTGCTGCCTGCTGGGAACTGCACTTTGAGTGGCACTATTTAGTTCCCTTAGGGCACTGAATTGAGCCTCGTGGTGTCAACCCCAGTGAGGGGCATCCACCTGATTTTCGTCTGCCCACACTAGAGACGTGAACATGACAGTGAACTGTCCCCTGCAGCCTCTCGTGTGGTAGGGTCAACCCTCTCTGGGATGGCCATTTGAAAACTGCGTAAGATGGAGCAATCACATTCAGCGTGGGGCTCAGCCACTTGATTTGGGTCCTCCAAATAATAGGGTTTTGACAGTCTGACCCACTGGTGCCTTTCGAAGGAATCCATGCAACCAGACCATACATGAGCAACAGTAGTTAATCCGTGTACTGTTATTACAGGGGATGGAGCCTTGGGGATGGAGGGCATGGAGGAGGATACTGGAAGTGGATCTGGAGCTAACTTGGAGACAAGCTTGTGAAGACTCTTAAATATACATTGAAGAGTTGGGCTTCTGTCTTAGAGCTTTCTGTGATAATAGTAGTGGTTTCAGTTTCCATGACTAGTTGTGCTTACTGTTCTGTGTGTATGCTTCTTTTCTTTCAGGATTAAGCATGAAAACATTGTTGCCCTGGAAGACATTTACGAGAGCCCAAACCACTTGTACCTGGTCATGCAACTGTAAGTACTGTGCTTAGCTAATGAGTGTCGGCCAGGGGTTACAAGCTCAGATGCCTGAAGGGCCAGGAGGAAAACTGCACTAATGTAGAGGGCGGGGTCAGACAGCAGGAACCTCCTGTGTCCATTGGAAGACAGCGCAGTCTGCAGCCTGCCCCTGCGCTAGCCTGCAGCCCCTGGGCTAGGACGAGAAGTCTAGCGCTCCCAGTGCCGTGCGATGCACCTGATGCAGGAGCCTCATGGGTGTTGTCTCTTTTGCTTTCTAATATATGAGGGCCCAAGATTGTTTCCTGAAAACGATGCAGTGAGCCCATGTGCAGTACACATTGGTCCTGTCTCTCACAGCAACTCCCACCCTTGTCTTCTTTTCTAGGGACACTGGGGGAGGGTGCAGATGGCAGCAGCCTGCTTCTTTCTTCCCCTTTTACTCTTTGGCTGGCAGATAAATGCACACTGACTGAACTGGAATTCAAGCCAGGCATAAGAGAAGTACAACAGAAGGGGGCCCATGACATTGTCACCCCTGTTAGATCAGTTCTGCCTTTCCCTGGAGAGGCCAGAGGAGGGAAGAAATAAGAAAGCTGAGTATGTAGGAAGAGACGTAAGTGTGTATTTTTAAAATTGTATTATTTTTATGGAGGTAGCATTAGTTTACGATACTGCATGCGTTTTAGTTTGCCCCTTCAGATGCGTTATATCTCACTCCCCCCCCGCCCCCATCAGAACACTCAGAGTCCTCCACTGTACCCCACGCTGGTAGCCTCAGTTCTACAGTCATGTTTCTAGGGTTTGTTTATTATAAATGTGTTTTTTTTAATGTAGGATGGAATTAGTCTACCAGCTCACAGCAAGTGTGTGTTCCTCAATATGCTTAATCTTTCATTGTCTTGGCAGTATTTTCAGTTGGTTGTGATCTGTTTGTACAGGCCAAGTGTAAATCTTGTAGATGGCTTTCCCCTGTCAAGTGATTGTCCCGGGTGGCCAGTGTTTTGAGCATGTGTGTGTCATTGTCAGTGATGAGATGGGCGTGAGCAGTTCTGATTACATGGCTCCAGGTGAAGCCCCAGCGACTGACTGCCGCCTTCCCTAGTTTCTCGTTACTCCGGGTGTTTTACATTTTGCTGCACTCCTGGTTCTTCCTGGAGAGCAGTATAACCCTCCCCAATTCTGAGGTACTCCCCAGAAGCTCATGATGGAGCATCTACTCCTAAAAACATGGGTGAATTTCTTTCCCACCAAAATCTGTGGAAATTTGGTGCTGTGCAAGAAGAATATAGCACATTGGTGACAAAAGTCCCACATATTGTCAGTGCTGTAAGAAACAAATTTCTGCTTCTTTCCTACTAGGTCTGGCGGCTGGCATTAATTAAATTGACTGAAGTCAGATTAATAGGAGAAAAACAATTTTAATCTTACATGTACTAGAGCTCTATAAATATATGAAGCTCAAGAAGGTGACCAAAAACAGGCAGCTTTTACACCCTTTAGACAGGCAATTTAGTTTATGAAGAATTGACATGGCAAAGGGTTTTGGACTTGGGGCAGTAAATCAATGAAACATAACTAGGTTCCAAATTCTCTGTCTGTGGCATTAAGGCTGTCTCTAACTTCTTGGTATAGGAAGGGCATTTCACATGGGAGATTTATCTCCAGCTTTCAGGTGACTGGACAGTGGAGGGTCACTGCCCTTTTTGTACCAGCTGCCGTTCAAGTATCTAATGCAAACTAGCAACATGATAAACAGCATGTTTTGGGAGCGGCATATTCTGCTCCCATAGTGTCCTTAGTGTGAGCTTTGAATTGGTACTGCAAAAAAAAAAAAAAAAACTTAATTGTTGAATCCAAAACTCGATGTAGTCATTTGCTTTAGTATATTGGAATTCTAGCTTAATAATAACTCAGCTTAACGTGCATCAGACTTATGAATCTCAGCTCTGTCTCTTCCTAGCTGGTTTCTCTATGGACAACCCTGTCATTTTATCAGTATGTCTCTGCAGATGGTCTCAAATTTTATGAGTCAAGTTCAAGTAAATTTAAATTCTACTTTCCTAGGCAACTTGACCTTATACGTATCAGCAGAAATTTATGTAACAGCAGTTCAACATGAAAATGAGCATAGCAGTATTTGGAGCAGAATGAGCCTTAGAAGCAGCCTGGAAGCCCAGCTGCCCACACAGCTGCCCCCCCCATGTGTGTTCCGTCTCAGCTTGCCCCTCCCCCCTGTTGGAACTATGATAAAACCTCTTCAATTTAGACCAGACTCATTTAGAATTACATTAACATGGAGAGGAGTTAGACTGCATTTAAGCTCTAGGTGGGCTCTATATGAGGTTTTTAAGGCAAATAAATCATAGAATTCAGACCTAGAGGTGATGTTTCTAATACTTCAGCACCATGAAGCATTTTAGAAGTCCTATTTACACAGGTTGGATATGTAAATTAAAAGTTTTTCAGTTATGTACTGTTTTTCATGGGTATTCTTTACATTTTTAAAAATCAACTTCATTGAAGTATAATTCACCTAGGATTACCTGCACCCATGTAAGCTAAGTAATTCAGTGATGAGTGTAAGAGAATCGTATTTAGGAGACAGCTCCTGAGATCATGATCAGAAAATGTCCATCACTTCTCAAGATTCTTTTCCAAGTCCTGACCCCAAGCAACCTAGTCCACTTTCAATCAGTAGAAATTATTTTGCACTTTCCACAGCAGCATACAAATGGAATCGTGCAGTCAGTATACTTCTGTGGATGACATCTTTCACGTAATTTCGGGCATTTATCCATGTTTTAAGTGTGGGTCAGATGTTCCCTCCTTCTCATTGCCCAAGAGTGAGCCCTGTCACAGATAGTCCACATTTATTCACTTAGCTATTGGTCGGCATTTCAGTTGTTTCCAATTAAGGGGCTGTTATGAAGAAGGCTGCAGTGAGTATTCATGTATGAACCTGTGTGAGACAGAGTAAAACCTAGCAGTGGAATGAATGCTACATAGGGTAGGTAATATGCTATTTTTTAAAGAATATGCCAAACAATTTTCCAGAGTCATTTTACCATTTTACTTCAGTTTACTTCAGTTCTCTTTGCTTTCCATTCTTGCCAACACAAAATACACATTCAATTTGGGTCATTTTAATGGGTGTGGGATAGTGTCTTCTTGTAGTTTCCCTGATGATTATAATGGTGTTCATCATCATTATGTCCTATGATACATTATCATTTTATGTCCTCATGGGTCATTTGTATATTTTCTTGAGTCAATTATCTGATCCCATCTTTGGCTTTTAATTTTACTAAATCATTTCTCATGGTATGGGATTGGAAGTGCTCTTTATATATCCTGTCACTTGTCAAATATATGTAAAATGAATATTTTCTCTCATTCTGTAGTTTATTTTCTAAATGGTGCCTTTTTAGAAATCATATACTATACCTGTCATCACATTAAAGTATACAATTTAGTGATTTTTATGATAGTCACTGGATTATGCATTACACAATCCAATTTTTGAATATACTCCCTCCCTACAAAAGCCCAGATATAGCAGTCACTCACATTTCTTCTGTCCCTAACCACTTACTTGCTGCCCCTAATAAATTGCCTGTTTAGACATTTCAAGTAAATGGAATCACATGCAACTCTGTGGGCTTTTGTGACTAGGTTTTCTCATTGAGCTTAATGTTTCCAAGATTTATCCATGTAGCTTATGCCCGTACTTTGTTTATTTTTATTGTCAAATAATATTTCATTAGGTGGATATACCACATTTTATCCATTGATCAATTGATGGGAGTCTAGAGTATTCCCACTTCTTGGCTATTATGAATAATTAATGCCAAGTACATTCATGTACACGTTTTTGTGTGGACATTTCTCCAGGGCAGATGCCTATGAATGAATTGTGGCCCTAGTGGTAACTGTGTGTCTAGCACTCCTAGCTGTGTTCCAAAGTGATGGCACTCTACACTGTCCCAAGAGCCCATGTAAAGATTCCAGCGTCTCTACAATGTCTTCAGTACTCGATTTGTCTGTCTTTTTGTTGATAATCATCCTTGTGAATGTGAAGTGGCATCTCATTGTGCTATGAGTCACACTTCTTTATGACTAATGATGTTTTTCACCTTTTCATGTGCTTACTGGCCACTTGTATGTCTCCTTTGGAGAAGAATCTGTTCAAATGGTAGACCTTTTTTTTTTAATTCTATCATTTTTCTTTTAGTTTTTAGTTGTAGAACTTCTTTACACATTCTATATAAAGTCCCATGTAAAACACATAATTTGCAAATATTTTCTTTTATTCTGTGGGCTATCTTTTTTTGTTTTCTTGATGGTATCATTTGCAGGACCAAAGTTTTTAATGTTGACATAGTCTAGTAGTTGATTTTTTTCTACTGTTGCTTATTCTTTTGGTGTCACATGTAAAAAAACACCTAATTCTTAATGATATCTTTGGATAGGAAAAATTTTGGTGGTGATGAAAAGTTCAACTTAGCTATTTCTTTTATGGTTTGTTCTTTTTAAGTCCAGGATGAGAAGTCTTTCCCTATTTCAAGTTACAACTTTTTTCTTCTAGATGTGTTTTGGTTTTAGTCTTTTCTATCTAGTTCTATCTCAAGATGAATTTCAAGTTAATTTTTATGTATGGTGTGATGATAATATGCTTTGTTTTCATAGAGATGTCCAGTTTTTAGCACCATTGTTGAGAAGACTACCACCCACTCCCCACTCCCGACCCCCACCCACCCAGTTAATTGCTTTAGCAGTTAGTCTCTCAAAATCAATTGACCATATATGTTTGGATTTATTTCTTTATTCTAATGCATTGCTCTATGTGTCTGCCCTTTGTCAGTACCACACTGTCTTACTGTAGCTTTTTAGTAACTTGAAATTAGGTAATTTAAGTCCTCTGATTTTGTTATTCTTTTTTTTTTTTTTAAAGATTTTTTATTTTATTTGTGCATACAGAACTGGGATACAGGCCAGAGATGTGGAGGGTGAGAGAA